AGCGCGTTGCTTTTCCGCCTCCCCGACTCTGCAAACAGTGATGGGGGGGACCTGGCCCCACTACGGACCCCCGAGGCCACATCCCCCTCCCCAGAGCCTTCCTCCGGGGCGCTCCCGCCTCTCACTCTTCACTCTCCTCCCCTACCCGCTCCCGGGTTCCCGTCTCCAGGCTGCGTTATCTGCATCTTCACTTTTAAATTTCCGCTTCCCTCCCTCTCGCCTGTCGCCGTGCTCCCGGCTCCGCAGTCGTTGCTCCCTTTATCTCTGCCCCCTTCTCCCTCCTCCTCCCTTCCCACTCTGCTCTTCCCTGGAGACTCGATTGCCTTCCCAGTCTCGCTTTTGCTTTCCCGATTTCCTGACTTTCTTTGTGTCCCCCCCTCAAGGCTTTGCCCCTGGCAACTTCTGAGTGTCCCTCCTTTCCCCTCCCTACCCCTTCTCTAGGTCTCTTCTGCCAGCGGTCTCCACCATTTTTCTCTCCTGCACCCATTGCCCCTCCAGTCTCCTCCCTCCCTCTTTCTCATTCTTTCGGTTCCCAAGAACTGGTTGTGGCCCAGTCTAGGTCAAGCTCCCGAGGCCTTAAGAGAGAGTGTGCTGGCTTTTTCTGGCAGGCTCCTGATTCCCCTTCCACTCCCCTCCGAAGCTACTTATCTTCCACCCTTCCCCACCTCATCCCAGTCTGCCCCACCCTCATACCCACTCCTAAACTTGTTATCCCAAAACCCAGCTCTAGAGGTACAGAGGTCCGCCCATTTAGGGATGTGTACCATACCTGGCTGGACTGGAGTCTCCCGGTACTTGTGGGATTTCCTGGCCCTGCAGAGGTGGACTAAGAAGGGATATTACTGATGGTGGGGCCCAGGGTTGGGAGCCCATCTTCTGCAGCCGTGCCGCCCCTGGTGGCTACAGACAGTTGGTATCTCCAGGGCCTTCTCCCTGCTGGAGACCAGGATGAGGAGCCCTGAGAGTGGGCAGGTCTCTTGCGGGGCTCCTGGAGTTCTGCCACCCTCCATTCACCCTCGCTTGTTAACTGCTGCCTTGTTCATCTTTGATGCTGAAGGGCTCAGAGGATAGAGGAAGGACAGAGTTGGGGAGATGGGGAACACGGAGAGCCCAGGATCCTGGAGGATCCTAGACAGACACAGGTATGGGGGCTTCAGGATTGGACTTGGAATCTGCTAGGAGAAAAAATAAATGTTGGTGTGTCCTCTGAGGACCAAACTCAGACTCTACAGAAGAGGGTCTTGAGGGCCAGGCCAAGTCTCCATGTTGGGCCCTCTTACTGCTTCACAGCTCCTGACAGAAGGAAAGCAGCAAGAGGCCAGGAGCTGGGGCAGCCCAGAGGAAATGGGGTCCACCCACTTTTTGCTCTCAGGAGGTGTCTGAAGCAGAGGGGAGAGGTGGTCAGAGAGGAGAAGAGGTCTACACAGAACAGGACAAGCTTCAATAGCCAGGTTTGGTGCCCAGGCAGACTGAGGGCTCAGGTGCTGAAAGGGAGGCGCACTGGCAAAAGTGTGTGTGTAAGTGTGTGTGTGTGTGTGTGTGTGTGTGTGTGTGTGGTCTCCTCATTCCACACGGATCATGACCTCTTCTGGCACCTCCTACTCTCAGGGCAGCCAGGGTAGAAGCCAAGGACAGAGTCCTTAGCAGTTTTCCTCCTTCACTCTCCTACCTGGCTGGGTCTACAAACCATCAGCCTGCCCAGAATAGAAGACCAGAAGGTAAAAACACTCAGGCCTGACTGGCCTCCTCCACTCCCATTTCCTAGCTGCCTATGGATGTAGGGGTGAAGAGCCTGACCCCTGTCCAGGAAAACCTAAACGATCCATGTTAGCAAATGTTGCCTCCCCCAAGTCCTTCACTGAGGAGGGGGAAACAGAACAGAGGTTGGTGCCCTGTTTGGGGCCCCACTACAGGCTCCCAAAGCCATTTTGTTGATTCTTCCCAGTGACCACATACTCTCCTGGAGGGAGGGCAGCTCCACTGAGGGCAGATGACAACCTCCTGTCATTCACTACCTACTCCCAGAAGCAGGCAGGGGAAGATGAGCTGGTGGACTCTGAATGGCCCAGTTTTGGGTTCTGGGATCAGCTTCTAACTCCCTTGTTTCCTACTTGTGTGATGGAGAGAAGTCACATAACCTCTGTAGCGTACTTTAGGCTCCTTATCTGTAAAATGGAAATTGTAATTCCTGAAACCAGAATAATGAAGTTTATATAACTAACACATGTTAAGTGCTTAGTATAAGTTGCACACACTTAGCTGTTGTTAACATTACTGTTTCCCAGCAGGATGGAGAGAGGTCTGTGACCATCCAGGAATCCCTACATTGCTCTGGAGCCAACAGAAATTTTGGGCGGTGCTGAAGCCTGAGGCTTTTAAATACAGCTCAGGTCAAGCTTCTGCTGAGTCTGGGTTTTTTGTTTGTTTTGTTTTCTTTTCTTTTGTTTGAGGTGGGGTCTCACTATGTAGCCCAGGCCAGTCTCAAACTTGCAGTAATCGTCCTGCCTCAGCTTCCCAAGTGCTGGGATTACAGTTGTGTTCCACTACACCCAGCGAGAGCCTGGATTTTGCATCAAGAGCCCTATGTTCAAATCTTGGCTTGAGATTTGGTGACATCACCAGGCCTCAGTTTCTTCACTAGTGAAATAAATGAAGAATGGAAGGAGCAGCACAGGCTACGGTCTGTACAACCCATTCAAAGGTAAAGCAGAATTCATACTCCACATAGAACTCTGTCCTTGGTCCCTTGACCCAATCCAAGACTCGTGGGGAGGAAGGGGAAACAAGGGCCCTACACTGACTGCTCCTCCAATGCTCTTCTACAACACCACAAACAGTTTCAAGAGTTTCTCATTGAATCCTCATGACAAGCCCTTGAGGCACACAAGGCAGGGATCAATAGCCCAGTTTCCAGGTAAGGGAAATGAGGCTCAGGGATGCTATGTGTTTGGGTCTCAGGTGTTTTGACTTATGGCCCAGGTCTCTCCCACAAAGGGGCAGCCTCCTGGCTTCAAGTCTAAATGCTCTCAGTGTCACTAGGGCTTTCCAAGGATAGGGCAATGATCTGGGCCACCCCTCCCCACTGGGCCTTGGCAACACAAGAATCCCCAAAGGACAGGAGGAGGGGACCCCAAAGGACCACAGGAGGCCCTCTCTTTTGCGGGGTGGGGTATCATTAACTGTGCCAAAGAGGGAAACACACTTGCTCCAAGGCCTCTGATAGTTGCTGCCATACTCAGCCCTGTCATGGCTTGGAGTTCTGCTCACCTGGCTTTAGGAGAGGAGAGAAAGAAAGAATAAAGGGGATGGTTTGTAGTAGCTGAAATGAGAGATATGAATGAACATGATTTGTAAATGCTGTAACTAAATATCATGCCAGGGACTGTTATTTTGACAAAGAGCCTGGAGGCCAGATTCAGAGAGAGAAAGTCTCTCCCTTGGAAGGGCCTGGAAGGCCCCCTAGTTAAAGGGAACTATTGAAAGAGGCTGGCAGATTCCCCATTTGGACAGGGAACCAGGGTGAAGATAACTGAGGAAGATGCTCTGGGCATTAGAGAGGAACCTGACAGAGCTTCTACATAGGGATGGGGAAAGTTTGCCCTGCATGGTGGCACCTGGACCATAGGATGTGTGGAGGCTGACATTCAGCAGTGAGCCCCACTGCGGATATGTGGCCACTCTGACTGCTGTCCTGTCTGGCTTGTGTACATTGTACCCACGATGGTAAGGGTGGAGAGACTGGTTATATTTAATAGGATCCCATGAGATTCTTTCCAGAAATTTCCACTCATCCCCACCAGAGCCATCTTAAACCAGGTTATGCTTTATAGTCAAGGGTCTTGGATCCTGAAGGGAAGGTCAGATTCCGACCCCCAGAAGGATGAGAAGGGATATCATAAAGCGCGACAAGAAGGAGGCAAGAGGAGCAAGCAGATTCAGGATTCTTTATTGAGAGCCTTCAAGGGAGGTGCCTGGGACCGTGGAGCCTAGTGCTGGACTCTCCGAATGGACTGCAGCTGCCCAGCGTGGGCCTGGGTGCCAAACTCACTGTAGTTATGGAACTCCCTGCTATGCTGGTCTTGCTCCAGTACATACTGGTAGCCTCTGTAGCCTGGGTACTGGTAGGCCACCCACCTAGGCGGGGGAGGAAACAGGGTGACGAGGAGGTTCTGCTTCCACCCCACCTTTGTCTTCCATTAGTAGACCTCTGTCTTAGCTCCCAATCCCCAGCTCCAAGGCCATTGCTTTGACTTTCCCTGCCAGGATCCTTTCCTGCCCTGCCTACTGCTCTGGGTCTTCTGACTGATTGATCACCTGCCTCATCCTGTCTTCTATCACAACCTCCGTGGACTCCTCATTCATGTTTTCAACCCCTCCTTCCATCCCTACATTATTTCCCTGGCTCCCATTCTTCATTACCTCCTCCTCCCTCTCCATCCTCACACTTCCTCATGCCAAGGCCCCAACCTCTCTGTGATGTTTCTCAGCACTGGGCTGGATCTGCCTTCCACCCTAGCTCCAGGCCTCATCAGCACCTAAGTGACCACAAATAGGAAGTAAGGTCTTCCCTCAGTGTATTTGATGCAAACCCTCTGCCCTCCCAACACACAGACACACGGAGACCAACGGGGCCCTCTTCTCACCCTTGATCCCTGGACCGAGTTTTAGTCTCATCTTCATGTTGACCCGTGTAACTGTCAGGAGACCCACGGACCCTCACAGCCCCATTTGCACACCGGTGTAGGGAGCTAACAGAGACTGCCCCACCTCCCAGGGCTAAGTGAGGGGGTGGAGAAAAGGAGAAGGACCTTGGCTCACAGCAGGGGGTGCCACTGTCGCTGTCCGTGGTGCTGGCCACTGGCGCCCGGCCTACACCCACCGGCCCACTCTTCCCCAGACTCTGCGGGTGCTGGGAAATGATGCCAAGATCATTTGTCTAGGCTTTGTTTACACGCTCCTGTGCAAGGGCACTGACCTTTCCGGGGCGCCATGGCAGGGCCTGGGCCTAGGAGGCAAGGAAGGAGGGTAAGTGGGCTGCTCTCACCGTGCAGAGCACTGGCCGGAAGGACAGCAGCTGGTTGCTGGGGTGGCCGCTGCTGCCGCTCCAAGCACTCCAGCGAGGATAGTCTCCCTTCTCCAGAATGAACTGCTGTCCCTGGAACTCGGGGCACTCAAAGGTCACCCATCTGGAAAAGAAAGGCATCTGAGAAGGCTCTGCCCGGCCCACTGCTTCCTCCTCCCCGTCCTTCTTGCTTATTGAGTTTGAAAAAACCAGGAAACCCCAATCTCTCTAACCCCAGGCTCTTTCCCTGACTCACCCATCGCGCGGCAATCCAGCCCTTCCTGAGACTGCAGACCCTAAGTTGGCTGCCATCGGGGGTTTGAGGGACCTAGGCTCCCCATTCAGGGGTCCCAGTCACCCAACTAAGCTCTCCCATTTAAGGATTTAGGCACCGTCAGATGTAAGCACCACCCCCCTCCAGCTGTAGTGAAAGGAGCTGCCCCTTTCCCTAGAGCCCCAGCCTGGACCCGGGGAGACCACCGTGGGGCCGACGGGAGGGATTTGGCTTTTCTCTTTGAAGGAAGCGCAGACTTCTAAGCGCACAGAGAAAAACTTAGGGAAGGACTTTACACAGGGGCCATGGATTGTTTCTCACCTTTGTCCCTTTAGCTCGTACGAGGACATTTCTTCCCCACGATTCGTCTTACGACAGATAGCGACTTTTGGAGAGGCCAGGCTAAGGGTTTTCCTATATCGAAGAATCTTCCTCGGAGTTTATAGGGCCGGCATGTGAGGTCCCAATCTCCAAATCTGGGCTGGGGGAGCCCGGCATAGCGCAACCTACCCCAGCCACAGCCGGTGATCACTCACGCGCCGTCTTCCACCTTGACGGAGCGCGCACTGAGCAGGCCTCAGCGCTCGCTGACGTTCTCGAAGTCGCTCAGCAGCCGGCAGAGACGGCCCCGGAAACCCTCCTCGTCCCAGAGGGTGAGGCAGGCGGTCTCCGGGCCGGCGCGGGGTTGCTGCTCCTGCTGCTAATGTGAGGTCCCAATCTCCAAATCTGGGCTGGGGGAGCCCGGCATAGCGCAACCTACCCCAGCCACAGCCGGTGATCACTCACGCGCCGTCTTCCACCTTGACGGAGCGCGCACTGAGCAGGCCTCAGCGCTCGCTGACGTTCTCGAAGTCGCTCAGCAGCCGGCAGAGACGGCCCCGGAAACCCTCCTCGTCCCAGAGGGTGAGGCAGGCGGTCTCCGGGCCGGCGCGGGGTTGCTGCTCCTGCTGCTAAGAACAGGAAGGGCGAACTGCGCGCTCAGCTACCGAGAGCCGCTTTGCTAAACCTGCCCAACCCGGGTGGGGTGTGAGGAACCCGGGGGCTGGGCCCGCCCTGGCTCTGGACACCCGCTGCGCGAGGCTCGCCAGCACCTCGCCCTCTCCGCCCCGGCCCCGGGTATTGGGTATTGACCGGGTGGGCGAGCGCGCACGCGAGGAGAATGGAGAGGCTTTATACCCCGCTCCCTCTCCCTCCGGGATGGGGGGAGCTGAGCCAGCGGAGGGCTGCAGTCCCCATGGTCTCTCCCGGGAGCCGAGCCCTTTCCCGAAGCCGCCGACCTGGCCCCAGCCCGCGGGGATCCCAGCGGAAAGTGCTGAGACGCACGTCGCGAGCGGGAGAGGCCCGGGCTGACTCCGCGCTTCTTTTCTTTGGGGCCTGAGCCGGGCTGGACGCAGCCAGCCTCGGGGCAGAACGCGCCTTCCCTGGCCCAGACCGCCGGGCCCAGAGGAACCAGGGCTCCCCGGCGCCTGGAGTAAGACCGCGCCCTGCCGGATGTCGCGGAAGTTCCTCCCGAGGTCTAAATGCCATCTCTTCTTCAGCCTGAGGTCGAGGCCTCTTGGGGAGATCTAGGGCAGAGGTAGAGAAAGCTCTCCGCAGAAGACTCTCTTCGCTCCCCTAAGTCCTCTTTCCCCTGCAAGATCGGTCCCTTGCGCTGCTTTCCTCCTAAACGTCATTTTCCGATGTTGCTCCGGGCTCCCGGGCCGAGAAGAAGCGGTAATTAGGGCCGGCCGCTAGGCGGCGCTAAACCCAGGAAACATAGCCTGAGCTAGCGCGAGTTTATAGAGCGTTTAGGAATAATAGTAACAAAGGGAGGGGCTAATTTTGGCAGGAAGGGCTTCTCAGCCTTACCTCCTCCCTGACCCGAGTCGGAGCCGGGTCCCCCAGGAAGCTCCAAGGTTTGGAGTTCCCTGTCCTGACGTCTGCTGGAGAGCTATGTCTGTTCCTGAGTGCTCAGTTCTAGCCAGGCTCTCGGTTCAGGCTTTCTAGTGCACTGTCTCAGCTAAATCCTAACTCAGCTCCATAACGTGGGCCCTGTCACTGTCCTGCATGGGCCAGAGGAAGAAGTGAGGGCCAGAAGGGGTCCAGGATGTCGTCAAGGTGTCACAGCTGAGAAGTGGCCCGGCTGAGATGAAGGTCCTAGGTTCCTGCCTCCACTTCCCCAGTACCAAGGTGCTGAGGGGAGAGGAGGACAAGGAGGGAAAAAGCTTGCAGGCGCAAAGAGTAGCTCCAGATTTCCCACCCCCTGCGGCAGAATATCGGAACCATTGTAACTGTCCTTGAGACAGGAGGCTTCTTGCAAAATGGCAAAGTTCTGGCCACAATGTGAGGGGTGAGTGAGAAGGGAACTAATATTTTCTGCTCTCCAGAGCCAAGTGCTTCCTTAATAGACCCACAGGAGCCCAAGGAGGTTGGTTTGTAGTACAAATGTACAAATGGAGGCTGAGGAGGTGCAAGGCCTCACTCAAACTCTATTGTTATGTGTGCTGGATACATAGTAGGTCCTCAATAAAACTTGCTGAGTAAATGAGGAAAATGGTCAAGTGTGGTCCAAGAGAAGGGACGGAGGGGAAATTCTCCAGCAGGAGTGACAGTTTGCCCATGTTACTAACCCCCCACTCCTGATGTCTTGGCTTCCTGAGGATGGGCACAGGGACAGGCTGCACTTGCCTTGGGCCTCTCTTCACTGGGGAGAAATTGCTGTTGGGACTCACACTGGAGCAGATGGGTGCCCTAGAACTGGGCATGGGGTTGAGTCCAAGTTAGAAGGACGTGAGTCGGAGATGAGACAACCACAGCTAGGTTTGACTGCGAGTGGTACCAAGTCTGGTACCCTCTCTTCTGGAGAGGGGCAAGACAAACACAGTTAGTTGGGTATAGTTTCCACCAACTGCACTGAGAGTGGTGACGCACATCTTTAATCCCAGCACTAAGGAGGCTGAGGCAGGAGGTTCACCGTGAGTTCAAGTCCAGCTTTGGCTACATAAACTGTCTCAAACAAAACAAAACAATTTCCACCAAACCACAGGGAATCAAACTACAGAGTGAGGCCAGAGTGAGGCAGTCCTGGACCCTCGGGGTCCTAGCCCTTGCTGTCAGTTTCACAAATCCAGGCTCCGGCAGGCGCGAGGCTTAGGGAATCAGATCTCACACTCCCCCTTGCCCCGCCACTTCTCTATTTCCACCCGACAATTGTGGATTGGGCCACCAGGGGGCGCAGCCAGATTGCGCTGGTCCCAAAGCTGGAGCAGGCGGGGCGAGAATTGGGAGGGGGTGCGGAGGGGCGGGTGGCAAATGCGTCAGGCTGTGCGTGAGCGCTGTGACGCGGCTGGTTGCCGGTCCCAAGGCATTTATGCGGTGCCGGCCTGGGGTCTGGATATGCCCCCGGGTAGGGTCCACCTGGGGACATCTTTCAGTCCCGGTGTTGATTCCAGGACAATATTGTTTTCAGGGAGGGGGCTGGAGGAAAGGTCTCCAACTCCAGGTTGAAATTAGGCATCCCTGCCGGGCCTGGTAGCAAGCCTACGCTATGGAAGGTTGAGATAGGAGGATCGAAAGTTCGAGGGAGAACCTCATTAAGGAGACCCTGTCTCAAAGTGAAAAAAGGGGAGAATGTAGCTGAGTGTGAAGACCCCAGGTTTAATCCCCAGTACGACGCATGCACACACGCACACACACACACACACACTGAAAGGCATCCAGCTGGGATTTGGGGTGGGTTCCTGTGTGTGAGGACTCCATCCCCCCAGTCTGAAGGTCTAATCATGACACCAGCCAGCCTCTCTTTCTGTGCCTTGTTTTCATCCTCAGGAAGATAGTATGGGGTCAGGTCCCCCACGTGGCTTTTAGCTGTAGCAATCTGAAGCCAGCTCTCTCACAAATGGTCACACCACCCACTGCCTCCCAGGTCCCACATCTTCCAAGGCTTCTCCACAGCCTGGAGTCTGAGGGGAAGAAGCCAGGAAGAGGCTTTTCAGGTAGCTGTGGAGCCCTCCCAGTCTCCTTTCCCCAGAAGGCCGGTCCAGCCCTGCACCCCATCCAGCCAACCCCTTGGACCCCTCACCCCCAGCAGCTGTTCCTGTTTGTTTTCCCAGATCGGTTGCACTCAGAGCTTCCTGAAGGATTGAGGCCCAGGTGGCTTTGTTTGCCAGTGTAGTGCTGTCACCCTCACCCCTCAGCATCTACAGAGGTGATATGGAGAGCAGGGAGTTAGAAAAACTCAGCATCCTCAGATCTATACCTCAGAGAGAACTTCAGATCTCACAGGGACCCATCCAGCCCTTCATCTCAGACAGGAAACTTTAAATGGAACAGAGAAACCTATAGGACTCTGTCCTTCCTCCCAAACCATCCCATACAGATCTGTACAGAGCAACACCCAGACCCTACAGAGCTGGAGTCCCAGAACACAACCAGACTCCCTCCCATGCAGGGACATAAAGATTCTATCAAGAAACCCTCAGGCCCAATCCTGAACTCCCACTCAGGTCCCCATCCCAGACGAAGGCCCGAAAATGCCCACTTCCCCCAAGGAGAGCCCCACCCCACCAACAGCCAGACTTCTCAGCACTGCTGACAGCTTAGAAGTGCCGGTGACCATCATCCTGTCCTTGAAGTGTCCCCCCCTCATTTCACTGGGAAATCACCCAGGGCTTTGGAGACGGAAGATGCAAATTCAGTGAATGGTTCCCTCTACCACCCAGTCCCATCACCAGCCCCTCCTTTCCAACTCTGCCCCGCCAGTCCCCGCCCAGGGAACAGGCAGATGAGCTCCTTCCCTGGGGCTGTGCGAGGCTGGTCTCCCGGGTGACAGAGATAACTCCTTCCACAGACTAGCCAGGCCCAGGAGGGAGCCCCACCTGGCCAGACCCATTGTCCCATTCCACCCAAAACAAAACCCCTCTTCTGTGCCCTCAGTAGGGTTGGAGAACTGGCCACCATCCAGGGAGATGGGAGGCAGCTTTCACCACCACCTCCTCTCAGGGATCCAAGGCCACTGGGCTCTTACAGTGAGGTAGGGAGAGGGTACACACTTACATTCATGGTCAAGTGGAGACAGAGTCACCCAGTTACAGGCACACAGATGCAGTCCCATGCACTCCACGTGTGAACATCCAAGTTCTAGGAGTCAACAGAGACCGCGATGTCATACTCATCACTGGCAGACGTTTGTTCGTGCACTTATTCCTCAAATATTTAATAAGATGCACTATGTGCCAGATACTGTATGGGGTGTTGGTTTCACACTCAAGCACGCATGCTTGTGCTTTCATGTGCACACCTACCCATCCCATGTTCACCCAAAGAGGTCTCATCTTAGCCACCCAGCCACCATCATACAGACACTGAAGGACTAAGAGAGTAGGCTCCATGGCTTTGCTGTTGCTTGGGTTCAAATCCCAGCTCCACTACTTATAAATTGGATGATCTTGCATGGTACTTGTCAGTTTTCTTCTCTGCAAGGTGGGAATAATTGTATTAAAGACTTGTGAAGATTTAAATGCATGTCAAGCACAAAACTGCCTGGCGGTAGGCACCCAACAACTGCCAACAAATGTTCACTGTCACAGCTATATTTGCAGTTGTAACTGCTTTTGTCACATGGCTCTCAGCACCACCACCACCTCTGGGCTGGGTTCTGGGGGGATAACATGGCTCTGGGGTCCATAGCTTCCTTCTTAACCAGGTACTGAGGAAGCCAGCAGAGCACTCGGCATGGGCCAGCATTGTGCCTCACCCCCCTTGAGCCACTGCTCTGACCAAAGTCTGACGGGGTCGAGAAAGTGTCATCCTAGGCAGTGTCATTTCCCTCGTTCTCACTCAGGCCTCTGCTCTCCAGGAAAGAACTCTGGGGACTGAAGCCAGAGACCTGGCTTCTGCTCCTGCTGCTTTTCTTGGCACCATACAAGGCCTTTGGCTGGCCATTTCCCCTCTTGGGGCCTCAGCTTTTTGCCTGTAAACTAAGTTGGCTGCTCATCTGGAGGAGCCGCCAGGCCCTGCCTGCTGTGATCCTCATGCTCCTGGGGAAGCCTCCCCCCCTCACCATCCAGCCTCTGCTGGCCCCACCCAACCACCCACCTGGCCCAGCCAGAGTGAGGGGGTGGCTTCCTTGCAGTCTCCATGGGGACTAATCTCCAAGAAGGTCATCAAGGCTCTGGTACAGCCTTGGCTGAATGGGGATTAGCACCTGGGTATAAACCGTCCCCCACCCCCAAACACTGGGCAGCCTCCAAGCCTCCAAGCCCAGTTCCAAGGCTGGGCCAGAATCAGGGCAGCTGCCCCAGATGTTGATCTGCCCAGCTGTGACCAAGAAGCGAGAGAGATGGAGTCAGAACATTCCACTCAGCCCTTGGTGTCTGGCTATGGTGTAGGCTTTGTTCTTTTTCACCTTCTGACCTTCTAACGGGAGGGCAATGGTTCCCAGTGGAGGGGTGTCACTGAATATGACTACCCCAGACCTGGCTGTCCCCATTAGCAGCTCACCTCTGTATGCTCTGTTAAGGGACATGTTTGCACCCCAAGTGCTCCCACTTCCTCCTCACACATTGTGTCCTCCATTGGTGGTGGCCCAACCTCTAAACCTCCTGTTCTCTCACACCATTCCTGTGTGTGCCTCTCTGTTCATCTTCTCTGTGTTCTCTGTCCCCGCCCTCACTGGATGGTGTGTGTGTGTGTGTGTGTGTGTGTGTGTGTGTGTGTGTGTGTGTGTGTGTGTGTGTGTGTGTGTGTGTGATCTCCTTGTACTTCTCACTCTGCATCTGTCTGTCCTTCAGGCTGGGTTCTCAGCCCCCTATCTCCTCCCCCGCCACCACCATTTTTCCTGCCTTCTCCTCACTCCCCCCACAGCTGCTGCACTCCAACTGCTCAGTCCCCTTTCCTCTTCCCCACTACCTGTGCCCTCCTCCACTGGGTGCTGACAGGGATGACAGGAAGCAGGCATGGCTCAGAGCCGGAGGGGGAGGGCAGCCCTGCACAACAGCTGCTGAGCCCCCCCCTGCCAACACCCAGCACCTGCAGGCCTGCTGGGCGCCTGGAGACACCACCCAGGCCAGCCAGGGGAGGAGGGACCTGGGGAGAGGCCATGTCTCTGGTAATGGCAAGGAAATGTGGGCCTGGGGATGGGAAGGGAGTGGAGGTCTACGGGAATCAGGCCCTGGCAAGGGCAGTGGTCTCCACCATCAGGGCAGACCCCAGCTCACTGAGTGGCTTCATCCTTCTTGCCACTCTCCCTCCAAGGACTGCTCCTGAAGGGGAGGATTTTTGTGGTGAAGGCCCAGGATTTGAAATCCCAGCCCCTGCCATTACTGGGGGAAGAGAGAGGACACTTCTGAAGGCATAGGAAATGTGTGGCCAGCTGGGCCAAGCCACTTACAGGTAAATCATTCAGTGCCAGGCAAGGAGGAAGGGTTGGGCCCTAGGATAGAGGACTGTCCAGGGAGGCCAGGATGGGGCTACACACACCCAGTGGGGACCCCTTGTCTTTCTCTGCCCCTGGGGCTGCTCCCGTCCACCCTCTCCCCAGACCACCTGGGATCTGTCAGAGACATCTCCACCCCCCCTTCTAGCACAGGGACTCAGCAGGTCCTTCAGGGACTGGGGCAGTTGGGTGAGGGAGCCCAGCAGAGCAAGCCGGCACCTCCACAATCATCCATTGGGGGTGACTTCGAACCTGGGGGTTATCTCAGCCTGGCTGTGCACATGATGTCTCTCGGTCCTAACAGAGAACCGGGGCTCCTTATTGCTGTCCAAGGGAGACTTCCGCCACCCGAACCTCCAGCTAACTGGCCCTGTCTCTGGCAGGGGCTGGCTCATCCTTGCCGTGCCTCCTGGGGAGAGGGAGTGGAGGACACAAGGAGTGGGAGCAGAGGATGAAGACTCAGCTCTGGCTCAGCCTGACCCCAGGCACTGTGTGGAGCCCTGAGCTTCTGAGCTCCTCCAGCAGGAGGCCAGGGCCTGGGGCAATCTCTGCCCCCCCCCCCCCCCCCCCC